CCAGATCATGAAACATGGCATAAGGCTACAGATTTGATCTGTTGTTGGATAAAAGGAACGTTACCCCAACAATTCAACCGTACTTGAACTCATGTGACACAGCCCTAGCAGCGTGGAGTGTCTTGGCTAAACGATTTGGCTCCACATCAACAATCCAAATTGAAAACTTACAAGATCGTCTTCACAATCTTAAGAAACCAACGGACCTCTCTGTATCAGACTATCTTCTCCAAGCCAAAACCATATCTGACTCACTGACCGTTGCAGGAAAACCACTTGAAGACTCAGAACTCATTCAACGTATCCGTGGTGGTCTTGGTGCCGAATTCAAAGAATTTCTCACATCTACTGCTTCATCTCATGTAAGACAATCCCTTAATCTTGACGAATTCACAGAATTATTTCTTAAAGAAGAGATGTTACAAGAAAAGTTTGCAATCCCAATTGAGCAATCCACAGCCCTAGCTGCTACCAAAACCTCTCCCGATCAACCTAACCCATCTCCACGTTCCAACAACAACAATGGAAATCGGGGTGGCCGAGGTCGTGGTAATAACAACACAGGTAGACGTGGAAATCAAGGCAGAGGTAATTGGGGGAGTCAACAGTGGAGCAACAATTACAATCGTAATAACAGAGGTGGTCGTGGCAGTAGTCGGACAAGAGGACCATTTAGAGGAGGAAACTCCAATGGTAGGGGAATTCTACCTACACCCTCTCATATGGGTCAGTTTTTTGACCCGAATACTACATGCCAACTGTGTTACTAATATGGACATAATGCCAGAGTATGCACAAAGCGAAACAATGCAGCTTACTTCTCACATTCTGAACCATATGTCTTGGACTCCGGTGCAACAAACCACATAACATCAGACCCCTCCAACCTAACTGAGTATTCTTCATATATAGGTAAAAATGCAGTGATTTTTGTTAATGGCACAAGCTTGCCTATTTCTCGAGTTGGTAAATTTTCTATTCATCATAAAAATCGATCTTTTCAACTAAATAATGTTCTGTTTATTCCTAAGTTGCACAAACCTCTATTATCCATTCGTCAATTCTCTAAGGATAATAATTGTTTCTTTGAACTTGACTCGTGTGGTTTTCGTGTTAAGGACATTCAGACGCAGGAGACTCTTCTTTCTGGAAATAGCAGTGGAGGTCTTTATCAACTATCATTTAATCCAAACACATCTCATAGCCCAGTTGCTCTCTTAGGCGAACGGTCAACTCCTGATACTTGACATGATCGCGTAGGACATCCTTCTCCTAATATTCTTAGAGTTCTTTGCAGCAAGTTTAAGTTACCAATAAATGGCAAATTTTCAGAAAACAGTGTTGCCATGTTTGTCCTATGGGAAAATCATCCAAATTAGCATTTGTTCCTAGAAAATTTAATGCTTTACATCCTCTTGACATGCTTCACCTTGATGTTTGGGGCCCTGCCCCGGTTTATTCTATGAATGGTCATCGTTTTTACTTATCTATAGTTGATGATTTCTCGCGTTATGTGTGGCTTTTCCCATTATTTCATAAGTCTGATGTTACTAATGTCTTTTCTACCTTCAAAACTCAAATTGAAAATCAATTATCTCGGAAAATTGCAGCGGTGCATTCTGTTAAGGCGGTCCAAACTGATGGTGGTGGTGAATTCACTAGTCGTCATTTTACAGCTTTTCTGTCTAAATATGGAATTAAACATCAACTCACGTGTCCCTACACACCACAACAAAACGGCGTCGTAGAACGAAAACATAGACACATTGTTCAAATGTGTCTATGTCTTATGGCAAAATCAAACACACCTTTTAAGTTTTGGCTCGAAGACTTTAATACTACTGTGTACCTGATAAACAGATTGCCCATGCGTCAACTCAATTATCTCTCTCCTTATCAAAAACTTCTATTGCGTGACCCTGACTATCGTTTCCTTAAAGTCTTTGGTTGTTCTTGTTTCCCGTACATTCAATCATACAACTCTCACAAGCTTATGCCAAAATCAGTTCACCGTATTTTTCTTGGTTATGATTTTTCACGTAAAGGTTATCGATGCTTGGATTTAAAGAATGGTCGAGTTTACATTTCTCGACATATTGTTTTTGATGAGTTGGATTTTCCCTTGAGAAATAATATTGCAGGTTCTTCACTCGGGCAATCACAACCAAAGAATGTTGAGCATGTCGTAAACCAAATTTCTGGAGAGGTCTATTTGCAGCCAAACATTACCATAAATCAAAGAGAGGTCCAAAGGTCAACTGTTGGGCAACCACCATGCACGCCCAACCCTCTGCCACCACCTACTCCTAAAACTCCTACCAGACCTATCAAGAATCGAACTCATCATCAACACCCCGTAGTTAATTCAAATAACCAAGTACTTTTCTCTCCTGGTGATGTTACTTCAAATAACCAAGTACTTTTCTCTCCTGGTGATGTTACTGAATCTTCAATAGCCACCCCTGAGGCTTTTCCCTCTTCACCCTCCACTCCCGGTGTTTCTTCACCTGCCAGCCCTATACTTTCAGAACCGACCACTCCATCCCCTGAAAGTCCAGATGATTTAAATCCAATCCTTCAAGGTTAAATCTTTAGCTGATATTTATCGATCAACAACACCACACTCACTCCCACATGGTCTGATGGCAACTAAATCTGATGACTTATTTTATGAACCTCGGACTTTTAAACAAGCCTCCAAGTTACCTCATTGGCAACGTGCAATGCAAGAGGAAATTACAGCCCTACACAAAAACAACACATGGCATCTGGTTCCGCCTCAACAAGCAATGAATGTTGTTGGATGTAAATGGATATTTAAAGTCAAACGCAAATTAGATGGGTCTCTTGAACGACACAAAGCTCGTTTGGTGGCACAAGGGTTCACCCAACAGGAAGGTCTTGATTATGCAGAGACATTCAGTCCGGTGGTTAAACCATCAACCATACGTACTGTTCTTTCAATCGCTCATGATCAAAGGTGGGATATCAAACAACTGGATGTCAGAAATGCTTTTCTTAATGGCATACTTCATGAAGACGTTTACATGAAACAGCCACCAGGTTTTGTTTCTAACTCCTTTCCTAATCATGTGTGCAAGCTAGATCGTGCACTCTATGGTCTCAAGCAAAGTCCTCGGGCATGGTTTCAACGTCTTCATGACTTTCTTTTACGTTTGGGCTTCTTTAACAATCAATCTGATTCATCTCTCTTCATCAGACACACTAAAGAGGCTACTACAGTTCCTCTAGTCTATGTTGATGACATAATTGTCACGGGATCATCTCCTTCGATGGTGGCTAGTGTGATTGATGCAATATGTGAGACTTTTGGAAAGGTTGGTGACTTACACTATTTTCTTGGCATAGAAGCCACACGTAATGCTCATACTTTACATCTACGACAAACCAGATATGCTTTGGATCTTTTGGAAAGGTTCAACATGGCTGGTTGCAAGCCAGCCACCGCTCCCAGTGCTCCTAATTCCCGGCTTTCATTACATAATGGTGATCTTCTTTCAGATGCTACCGAGTATCGTAGCATGGTTGGTGGATTACAATATCTTACACTAAACATCACATTTTCAGTCAATCAAGTATGCCAATTCATGCACCAACCTCGCACCTCTCATCTGCAGGCCACTAAAAGCATTCCTAAGGTTCATTAAAGGCACAATACAAGAGGGGTTATCTTTCTACCCTTCAAACACTTTTGACATCCGAGCTTACTCTGATTCTGATTGGGCAGGGGACCCTAATGATCGTAGGTCTACGACAGGTGCTTGCATATATATTGGTCCAAATCTCGTCTCTTGGACTGCCGAGAAACAATCAACAGTTTCCCGGTCCAGCAGTGAAGCTGAATATCGTGCACTAGCAACTACTACTGCAGAACTTCGGTAGTTTTCCTACTTGTTTCGTGAGCTGAATATCTTTCTTCATCCTCCCTCTCTCTTTTGTGACAATCTATCACGTAATCCATCCATACCATATGATCGCACTCGACTACATTTCAACAGATGATCAGTTAGCGGATTTGTTCACAAAGGGTCTGCCTAAAGTCAGATTCAATTCCTTATCAGTCAAGTTGCGTCTTCCATACGGACGTCTTACTTGAGGGGGGTGTAAACGTACATATATTTGGAAAATATTGTGTTGTGCATTATATTCTTTGGAATGATTTGCCATCGTTAATTATCAATTTAGGCCCTGTAATTAAGGCATAAGTTTAGTCCTGTAAATGTGTATTTATTTTTTTACCCTTGTATCTCTCTTATATATATACTCATAATAAAGACACAGGAAGACACGTTGGGTTTTCTGTTTTTCAACATTCTTCTCCAATCTTTCTTCTTCCCGGTTCCAGTTTATATTGTTTGCTGTTGTTCTACACAGTCTCACATATTTGGCGGGTTGTCGGGTCGACCCGTAAACCCAAACACATAACCCGAACCTAACCCATGAAATAGGCAGGTTGACAGGTCAAAAATCTCAACCCAAACATGTTAATTTCACGTATAATCTTTGTCCAGGTGGTCGGATGAATTTTCCAGATTGAAACGTGTTAATTTGTCTTAGGTCTGACCTGTGGCTATATGCTTAGGTTAGATTAAATTCTGGTTATCTTATAATATTTAGATTACAATTTTCAATTTATAAATTTTCGTTATATTACAAAAAGTTAGTGTTAGAAATAAATAGAATGTCTGATACATGTTGTTCGTTGGTTCTCGGTTGATCTCTGTCACTTGTATATTCATGACAAGCTTATGAAGGAGTTCTGAAACAGCACACCCCACAAACTAACTCGAAAGGCACGTAAGAGTTTGGCATCTTAGTAATGCAACAGATAAGTGCATGGAAACAAAACCATAGCTGTAACACCATTTTGTGGATTCTCATTGCCACTACACGTAACCGCTTTCCGGTAAGCATGGTGCGTAGAGTTTTGGCAATCTCTAGAATATTCAAAGTTGATAGATGCCCATACTTTCCACTCCATGCTCGTTAGTTTTTCTCATAGAAAACAATCACCTGGTTCTGATTCAAATCAAAGAAATAGTGGGTTGCCACGTATCACCGAGAAATTGCAAGGAAGTGAAAACCGAGAGATAGCAATGGCTCCACGTCTGTTGTCCCACATTTTGATGCACCTAAATTATTTTCCATTCAAGTGCATGATATGCGGAGTGCTTTCATTCCATCATTATGGGGCTTTTAACTTCGTATAAATTCCAAAGAGTAAGGCTGGTAGTTGGTATCACTAAAAATTGTATTTCCCCTCTTCAAAAAGATTACTACCAAACAATCAAATAGGGGTTTCTCCAAAACCATCATCCAGGAAAGATTTCCGATCCATTACTTTGCCATGCAGATTACATCCATGCACCTACAGAATCGACAAAGTGCTGAATAAAGTTAAAACATGGGAGTCCACATCATCGTTATCGAATCCATCTGCCGAAATCATTTGCAACGGTGTGTTTCAACTAATCGAGTTGTATGAATGTTTGGATGACCTTGTCCAAACATGTCCTTCAAAAACTTCGTTAGATTCCAGCAATCAGAACATGAGATGGACGGATGAGTTACTTGATGTATCTGTTATTTTCTTGGATATTTTCGGCAATATATCTGATCTCATGTTGCAGACAAAAGAACATGTGAGGGATCTTGGGTGTGATCTTAGGAGAAATAGTGGTCCCAGCATTGACAGCATCATTGACAATAAGACTTCATTCAGAAAGAAACTGAGAAAAGATATTAAAACGTCCGTGGCTAGTCTGAATCAGTTGGATGACATGATTGGCCACTCTCCCTTGGTAGATTTTGAAAACAACCATTTGATATCGGTGATCCGAGCGTTCAAAGAAGTTAAAGCATTCACCGCTGTTATTGTGCGATTGTTGTTCAAATTCTTGGCTATTCCACTTTCGAAGACAAGATCGAGAAGCAGATGGACAACAGTCTCAAGATATATATCCAAAGGTAAAGTGGTACCAGAAGAAAAAGGTGACGCTAATATAAATGAGTTTCAACACCTTGATGCTGCACTATTCAGATACAGGACAAGTAACAAACTGGAATTCATCTAAACCGTTTGAAAGAGACTAGAGGAAATTGAGGCAACTGTCGACGGCATCAACTCTCAGTTGGAATCAATGTCGAGGCACCTGATTACAACCAGAACCTCTCTTCTTAACTTCATCTCTTTCTACTAGTCAAAATACTATCATATACCTTCAAAGATCAAGCTACTAGAACTCCAAATATTGGATGATGGATTGAAGCTTAGATTTTTCCAAATTGTCATGTAAATCTTATACATTTATTGAGCATATATAGAGTAAATATTGTTATCTTATACACCCTATGAGCATTTTTTGAGCCAAGCTTGTGCTTTGGTGTTGAATCAACTCATCCTTGAAGATTTTATATATTTCAGAATATTCTTTTTATTTTCATTCTCATTTGGGGCTATTTTCAAAACCATTTCTAAAAATGGTGGTTTTTGAAACTCCACCCCTCCACCACCGATTATATTTTGTTACATATAGCCTCTCAATCTTCATAATATATTATTTAAAATATTTTTTATACAATCAATTTCTATACTATATATTTGTCATGTATATTGTCATTTACCTTAAATACATAGTTCAACATAACTATAAATTTTTAAAAAAATACCATTAAAGTCTTATATACCTTCAACTTTATTTCAACTAGTGTAGATCTCATGCTGCCCATGGGTTAGAATAACTTTTCTTTTCTGATTAACTAAGTTTGGATTGGTCGTGGTTAACATTAGAATATTATCCAGGAAGTGATGGTTCATATTATGAAATTTGATACAAGGTGAAAAGTGTTGGATTAGATGTCTAAGCTCATAACTATTATTGGTATGTACTCGACCCGAGAGTAGCATGGTCCATTTGGGTTGCATATCACAGGACAATTTGTTAGGATGGACTTTTGAGAGAAGGTTATATATGCTTTATTAATATATTATAAGTTATAATATATTAATATGAAATCATAGGTTTTAATTAGTATTGATCAAAAATTAATTTGGAATTAATTTAGTGATCAAAGGAGACTAACTAAATCTAGGGGGACTAATTATGGTAATTAGCTATATTTATATGTGTTGGACTGATGATCCATGTTGGACCAAGTTTATGTATGGATACATAAAGAGTTGGGTCACATGAACCATGGGTCATAACATCCATGGGTATGGATTTGGGTTATACCCATGACCCTTGGAATCCTACATATAAATATGTCCATTCATAGCCAAAACGCCTAGACTTGTACTTGGAGTTCATGGAGATGTTTTTGGTGCATGGAGATTCTCTCTAAAGAGCCACCTTTGTCCATGATGTGTTGTGACTTTATTTGAGGCTTCCACACTATTGGGGCTAAGCTCTTAAGGCCAAATACATCAACACTTCAAGCTACATGAAAGGTATGTTACCCTAACTAGTAATTAATATGGTATATGTCAATTGCATGCTACTTATAGGCTTAATACCTTGGAAACATCATTGCATGTATAATTAGTGAAAACATAGATCCAAGGTATTTAGGGTTGTATGTGCACCATAGGATGTTGTAGTATACAAAACCTAATAAAAAGTACGTTACATGGACAAAATCATAGAAAGGATATTTGGAAGAAAACAACGAAAATAGATGTTACATAGGAAAAACATACAAATGATGATTACATAGGAAAAGCATACTATGGACATTAGGTAGTATTCAATGGTTGATATTACATTGGTTGCTAAAATTCAACATCCAAAAAACAAATAAAGCTTGGTGAATGCCAGACTTTAAATTCATATACTAAACTTTCCTCTTGAAGTGTATGGTTCTGAGAAATACCTTGAACATGGAACATAGGAGTAAATTTTCTTGGCCCTACCAAAGACCACCCAAACAAAAAACAAAACTTAGAAAATCATCTCCAATAAACCTCCCCATCAAATTTCTCAATAGAGCTCCATCTTTTACATTATTAAGTTTCCAATTATTACTTCATTCATCTTTTTCCCTGTCCACATCTCGTGAGGTGTTTTGGCAACCTTCTTGGTTGGGACAAGATTAACAATGTGGCTTGCAGTCACTAAGGCATACCCCCATAATCAAATTGGAAGAGAAGATCGACTCATCATGGAACGAACCATGCCCAATAAGGTTCGATTGTAACTCTCAGCCACACCATTAAGTTGTGGTGTCCTAGGAGGTGTCAATTGTGAAACTATTCCACATTCCTTGAGATAGTCGTGGAACTCGATACTAAGATACTCTCTGCCTCTATCTGATCGGAGCATCTTTATCTTCCTTCCTAATTTATTCTTGACTTCATGTTTAAACTCTTTGAAATTTTCAAAAGGTTTCTGACTTATGCTTGATTAAGTAAATATAATCATATCTACTATGATCATCAGTAAAAGTCACATAGAATGGATTAGCATCCCTTGTGGTGGATCTGAAGGGCCTACTCACATCTATGTGTATGAGTTCCAACAAACCTTAACCTCTTTCACAAGAAGGAGTGAAAGGTGATTTTTTTCATATTACCCAAAAGACAAGATTCGCATTCATCATTTGACCTTAGGTCAAATGATTCCAACACTCCATCCTTTTGGAGTTGGGGGATGCGTTTCTTTTTAATGTGTCCAAAACGAAAATACCACAAGCACGATTTGTATATACTAGTAGACGAATCAATTTGAAATACACTATTGCCAAAATTGTCTACACACATCACAGTTTCATATACCATCACAAGGTAAAGCTTCAAAATAAAAAAAAATATCATTTTTATAAGCATAAATAGAACCAGTATCATTATTAAAAGAATATCTAAAACCTTGTTTAAACAATCTGTGAAAGTAAATAATGATTCTTGTCATTTCTGATGAGTAGCAACAATTCAACAAATCTAAACTAACACCATCACTAAGCACTAGACTATAAACTTCAATCTTCGTGACAGGTGAAGAAGCGCCTATTCCCCATGATCAAGTTTATTGTACCATGCTCCACATCCTCCCTTCTTTTTAGAACATGAAAATAAGAACAAATGTGAATACCACATCCTGTATCAAGGACCCAAGAACGAGAAGATTATGGGTGTTTAGATAAGATAGTGTATATACCTGCAGAAGTCAGCTTCACCTTGCTGTATTTGATGTCTTGCAAATACTTTGGGCAGCTTCGTTTCCAATGCCCTTTGTCGTTGCAGTAGAAGCAAGTGGCCTCTTTGGGATCAGAGACACGGTGAGCATCAGAACTGGATTTTCCTTTGGGTCCATTGCTTGATGAACCAGCTTGAGACTTTCCCTTCCAGTTTTTCTTAGGAGGACCTTTCCTCTTTTTCCTTTTCCCTTGACGAATGGCCAGAACGGGAGCACTAGCAGGAATGGAGGCAACACTTTTTCCCTTCATCTCTGCTTCAGCTATTCGTAAGAGGTTGTGTAATTTGAGACGAAGTGGTGTCATTGTTGCTCAAATGATAAGTCAAGATGAACTGATCATAACAACATGGCAAGGAGTTCAAGACTATATCGATAGCCAACTCCTCATCAAAATTCACATTTAGCTTGACAAGTCAGTCCACGTATCATTGCATTCTTTGCATGTGGCTGCTAACAGATTCTCCCTCTTTCATCTTGCTTGAAATGAGGGACTTTACCACCTCATACTTTTCCTTATGAGCTCCTTTATGGTACTTCTCCATAATGTCCTTGTTTATCTCGTACAGGCAGTAATCCTCATAGTATCTCTGCAATTCAGGAGTCATCGTGGCCACCATGATGCAAAAAAACTTTTGTTGCATCATTGTAGTGTTTCTTGTAGGCAACCATTTAATCAGGAGTGACCTTCTCTTCTTCGATCTCATCTAATGGTTTCTCAAGGACATACTCCTTGTCCTCAAAACGTAGGGCCATCTTTAAGTTACGCATCCAATCATTGTAGTTGGTTCCATCCAAAGTCACCTTGGACCAAGTGTTCAACAAGGAAAACTTATTATTGGAGGAGGAGGAGGAACCAGATGCACATTTGGAGCATACATCTATAAAAGAAAGGTAGTTTTTGTTAGATAAGAACAATCCTTAATATAACAACCCAAAAATTAAATATTAAGGCTAGGATCCAACTAAACAATTCACAACTTAGAAAAGGGGTGTTGTAATGTAATTGTAAATTTTATAAAGGTAGGTAAATGACGATTTACCAATTTCACCATCGAAAAACGAATTTTGAGGGAAATTAACTTAAGTGAAATTCCTACATCTTTTAAGACTCATTCATACTATTCAATGACATGTTTAATCTCATATTATACTCTTCCATTTGTGAATGGGATACTGAGGATCACAAACAAGATGTGAATAAGCATGCAAATTAGCTTGGCATATTGGATGTCATTTATCATCTCATTTTAATGTGCCTGTTAACCACACGAGGTCCATTAATCAATGTTATTTCTCGAGATGCTCATTATTACTCTTTATAGTCACTATTAGTGTGGCGGTTAACCACACACACTCCATTAACTATTATAAAGTATAATGAGCAATTTCATGGGTTAGCATACAAATTCACATTTTTCCTAAAGTAACCAAGATTGGGATTTAAATATAATAGTTTAGTTACCTTTTAATCACATTATACTCATTAATGATAATTAATTGTCCTATCAAACCCATTCGGCTAACGACCATCCACTAATCAAGGCAACAGTGGGTGAGAGTGGAAACCAATTCAATTACCATTTATAGGTAGTTTTCTTATACCCCCCCCCCCTATAGACTACCTTCGTGAATGAGGCGTACCAGCGGCTCGACTGAATTAGTCTTATACATATAGTAATAATTAAACTTTTAATTTTACATATAGTATAAGGTGTATTTTAAAACTTTTTCAAAATACTAGGTTTATATTTCAATTTCGAAATTAAACAATTAATTTAAATTTTAAAATAATTATCTATTAATTAAACATTTAATTAATCATGTAGGATTATCTAATTAAATTAACCAAATAAATTAATTTAATCCTCACCCCTAATTTTCAA